TTTACCAATTGTCAAGTTCAAACATTGTTTGGACTTGATTGGCATTTATGACTAGTAAATCCTTCAAGAAATTTGGCAAAGATAATCGAAGAAGTTAAATATGGAGTTTGATCCTATTTAAGCCAAGATGGAGATTTGGCTTAAATAGTTATTGAATAGTCAAAGATTTTGTTCACACAAGACTTTGTGACATGGTAATTAAATGCCATCACCTTTTCACCAGGTTTACACGTCTTTCTCTTGATGAAAGATGAACTTTTTTGGTGGTAATAATTGCCACCGAATTGGAAGCAAAATTTTAGCATCATGTCTCCTAGCATGTCAAAATTCTCATGCTTATTTGATGGCTTCATAATTTTCCATGCCAGATTTTGTACCGAAAATCTTGACAAGTTTTGGCCTTCCTTTCACTATAAATACGCCTGCATTTTGAGGGGAAAAGATCAACACACATTTTAGAAAAGCTTGAGTTAGAGAGAAAAATTAGAGTGTGTAAGAGTGTGAGAGATATTGGGTATATTTGGGTTTGGGGATTGAGAGTTTTACCAAATTTTGGATACCTAAGTAAAATTCTTCTTTTATCTTCTCCCATGGATCGATGTAGGCTAAAAAACCGAACCACGTAAATTATCATACGTTTTGTGTGTGTTATTATTCTTCCCTCTTTTTTTCTTCCCACTAATTATTTTCGTGGGATTAAGTCTGTCATAATAAAGGTGATTACGCTCCACATCCAAATTATACATTGAGGTATTAATTAAAGATGCAGGAAGTTGTCCTCTTACTTGATTGTTGTATAAATTGAGGGTCCATAGTCGCGGACAATTTCCAACTTCTGGAATTTTTCCTGTAAAAATGTTGTCGGCTAGATCTATCTTTCCCAGTGCAGTGCAGTCGTAGAAGAAAGAAAGTGCAATTGTTCCTGTCAAAATTGTTACGGCCAACATCGATTAAACTGAGGTTAGAAAGGGCAAATGTCTCTGGTATTGGATCATGTAAATTGTTCTGACGTATAATCAAATAGTGCAGGTGCCTAAGTTGCGAAAATTCAGTTGGAATGATTTCAAACAAATGATTGCCCCTGAGCACTAAAAATCGAAGGCCAGTGAGATTTGAGAGAAAGGGTGAGAGAGGGCCTACCAGTCCACATCCAGATAATTTAAGTCGAGATACACGGTGATGGTGATTGTTGCATGTGACACCAGTGAATTTGCATACATCAACTGCCTTCTTCCAGTTTAGCTAATGAACCATTTGNTATTCTGTGTTCTGCTATATATCCTAGGACTTTAGTGTAACGGAGGGCAAAAAATTCAATACACAAGGAACTCTGAAGGTTATAAAAACCCGCTATATTACTACTGTGGAAAAAGTGGCTTAAATGGTTATCGAATAGTCAAAGATTTTGTTCACACAAGACTTTGTCACATGGTAATTAAATGCCATGCATTTTTCTTCACCAGGTTCACACGTCTTTCTCTTGATGAAAGATAAACTTTTTTGGTGGTAATATATGCCACCAATTGGAAGCAAAATTTTAGCTTCATGTCTCCCAACATTTCAAAATTCTCAACTTTGTTGCGATTTGGGATTAATCTAAAGACTAATCAACTAATTAATTACAAAAGAAATCAAGAACAAGTAAATACACACGAGTTTACCGTAGTTCACTTACTCAAGATTTGAGCAAGCTACGTTTACGTTGAGCTCCGAAACACTAAGACTCGTTGCACTAAAAAGATCAATAGCGTTTACAAAGTACAATTTCAGATTCTCAAATACTACCCAACTCATTTTGCTAATCTATCACTCAACGCTTTTATCGTAACCTTTAAACCCAAGAGAGAGACTCACTAAGCTTCTCTACCTGTGAAGGAAACACCACCTTCACTCAACAACTCAATAGATTGCACCAAGATTACAAGAATTAAAGTACACTAAAGAACCCAGCAAAGCAGAATTTTACAGAGTCGAAGAAGAAGAGAAAAAATTGATTTGTTCACTGTAGCTTTAATTGGAGAGTTGCCCTCTCTTATACCTTTGACTTTTCAGGGAAATTTCAGCCATTAGATGAACCTTGAATCAACCATTCAAGATTGCATGAAGCTTGGACCAAAATGGTAGCGTTGGACTTAAACTTATGCGACTGTGGTTTTTTAGCTTCACACTTTTACATACTTATTTGGTGGCTTCACAAATTCACACGCCGGATTTTGTACCTAAAATCTTGACAAGTTTTGGCCTTCCCTTCACTATAAATACAGGTGCATTTTAAGGGAAAAGATCATCACACACATTCTCAAGCAATACAAACACTAGAGACAGAGAGCTTGAGTTAGAGAGAAAATAGAGTGTGTGAAAGTGTGAGAGATATTGGGTGTATTTGGGATTTGGGATTGAGAGTTTCATCAAATGTTGTATACTCCATTTTGTTAGTGAAATTCTGCTTTTATCTTTGCCCGTGGACATAAGCTAAAAAGTCGAACCACCTAAGTTATCATGTGTATTGTGTGTGTTAGTATTTTCCCTGTGTTTTTCTTGCTGTTAATTTTATCAGTGGGGTTGGGTCTGTCACAACAAACTGGTATAAAAGCCACGACCATTTTTTGATCGAATTTACGATGTTCGCTATAGTATCAGTAACAAACAAGGTCGAGAAGTCTGATGGCAACAACAACTTTAGTATTGGGCAACTCCGTATGACTACTGTTCTTGTACAACAAGGACTTGATGTTGCTTTAAAAGGAAGGCTGTCAAAACCTGATGACATGACAGATGGAGATTGGGCTAAACAGAAACTTTCGTATACAGATTGGGAAAAGCTGGATCAAAGAGCTTTGTCAGAGATCCGGTTGAATTTGTCTGATGAAGTTTTGTGGGAATGCCTCAATGAAAAGACGGTGGCATTATTGTGGTCATACACATGACCAAATCACTCACCAATAGAGTTAGTTTGAAGCAATCATTATACACACTGCGTATGGCTAAAGGTACGTCTATCAAGTCTCATATTGATGAATTTAATTCAATCATTATGGACTTAGAAAAAATTGATGTCAAGATTGATGATAAGGATCAAGCCCTATTATTATTATGTTCTTTGCCACCCTCATACAAACATTTTAGAGACATCATATTTATGGTAGAGATATAATCTCTACTAAAGATGTTAAACCAAATTAAAGAATAAGGAAAAGATTGATGGACAATTAACATCAACTGGTAGCAATGATTATGGTGTTGGTCTAGTTGTTAGATGGAGAACACACAATAGAAATCCAAATAATGGTAAAAATAGGTCTCGATCAAGTTCCAAATTTAAAAGTAATAAAATTTGGCATTACTGTCATCAACAATGACACATTAAGAAATATTGTTACAAGTTGAAAAATAAAAATAAAAGTTTCATTGAAGATAAACAAGGCAAAGAAAAATCTATTGAAGCTGATACTGTTGTAGATTGAAATGTTTCGAATTTGCTTATGGTGACTGATAGTTGTGATGGATCTCAAGATGAATGAATCCTTGATTTGGCTTGTTCCTACCACATGTGTCCCAATAGGGAGTGGTTATCCACATATGAATCAATTGATGGTGGAGTTGTTTTAATAAGGAATATGCCTCATGCAAAACTGTTGGGATAGGAACAATTTGAATAGAGATGCATGACAGAGTTATTAGAACGTTGTTGGATGTCAGATGTTCCTGACTTAAAGAAAAATCTCATCTCTTTGGGCACGCTTGATTCAAAAGGTGTAGGTATACAACTGAAGGTGGTAATGAAGATCAATAAAAGTGATATTCTCTTGATGAAAGGGACGAAAGTTGGCAATTTATATTTTTTACAGGGTGTCACAGTCACTGGAACAATTGCAGTTTCTTCATCATCAATGTCAGATTCAGATGTCAATGGCACATGAGGCTAGGCCATGTGAGTGAAAGAGGGATGGTAGAATTGAGCAAGAGTGGACTTCTCTTTGGCCAAGGTATTGGAAAAATGGAGTTCTATGAACACTATGTCTTTGGGAAGCAGAAAATGGTTAGTTTCAAGATAGCATTCATAGGACCAAAGGAACACTGGATTACATTCATTCAGACCTATGAGGGCCACCTATAACTCCTTCCAAAGGTAAATGTGCCCACTATCAACTCACTTTTATTGATGATTTTTCCAAGAAAGTTTGGGTGTACTTCTTGAAGCAGAAAAGTGAGGTGTTCACAACCTTTAAGCAATGGAAGTTTTAGGTTGAGAAACAGTCTGGAAAGTAGATCAAGAGATTCAGGACTGACAATGGTCTTGAATTTTGTAATGAAGAGTTTAAGGAGTTCTGCGAGAATCAAGGCATTGTACGACACCGCACAACTGTGAACACACCACAACAAAATGGAGTTGTAGAACGCATGAACAAAACATTGATTGAGAAGACTCGATGTTTGTTGTCAAATGCAGGTTTGGGTGAAGAGCTTTGGGCAAAAGCCATTAATACTGCATGTTGGTTGGTGAATCGATCTCTTAGCACAACCATTAAGTGCAAAACACTAGAGGAGGTATGGTCTGGTAAACCTACAGACTATTCTAATTTGAGAATATTTGGTTGTCCTGCTTATGCTCATGTAAATGAAGGAAAGTTGGAGCCAAAAGACAAGAAGTGCATTTTTCTTGGTTATGTAGATGGTGTGAAAGGATATAGGTTATGGTGTCCTAATCCTAAAAATCCTAAATTCCTTATTAGTAGGGATGTTACTTTTAATGAGTCTTTTATGTTTCATTTTGGAAAAGATTCTCCTAACAATTGGGATACAAAAAAGGAGGTGGAGCTAGAAATTTCAAAATCTACTACTACTCAGCATGTTTCTATCATTCTTTCTTAATCATCTTCAATTCAGCAGCTTGTTGAGGAAATTCAACAAGAAGGAGATCAAGAGTACAACATTGCCAGAGACAGGCCAAGAAGAATGATTCAACCACCTAAAAGGTTTGTTGAAACAGATATTGTGGCTTATGCTTTGTCTGTGATGGAAGAAAATGGTGAGTTGTCATCATATTCAGAAGCTATCTCTTTAGNCATAATATCAAATGCAATTTTTAGATTGTTATAAAACCAATAATCAAACAGACCGAATACATATGATGAGTTTTAAATTGAATACCAATGTAGTGTTTATGTGTTGAATTTTGTTTATAAATCGTGACATCTGTGATACTCAAGTAAATTAGCAAAAATAAGTGGTGACTGAAGTAACCTACATGACCCCCAAGCAGGTAAAGAAAAAGATTGAATACAGCTTTGACCCACTTAGCTTCGGCAAAAAAGCCATTAATCTCAGTAGCTCTTTTAATAGTTAATGACAGTCCAATAACCAGTAGAATATATCCGAAAAGAAACAAGTCAGCTGCCGCCAAAAAGATCTGGTCTTTCGCTCCCGTTGTCAAATAAGGAAGTACCGTCTGCACAAACCACAGCAAGTTTAAACAACTCTTTTTATGTATGATGAGATTATAAAACAAAATTAGCTGTCGAAGAATTGATGAGCTTACCAATGTCATGAACAATACTGGTATTTGAATAAAGAAGAAATGTCCGATCGCGGTTTTAGAACCAGGATTAGATGAAAAGGTATTTTTTAAACAATTGGGAGTATAGAGCAGCATATAAAAATTAAAGAAGACGACAGCAGCAATCGTGGCATTTAATTCATTGACGATTTCGAGGCAATTTTGATCGAAATTGATCTCATAAGCGTAGTAATGCAAAGGATGCATTAAGATAACAATCATATAAGCCGCAATATATAGCCCGCGGCCCCAATTGGATTCTATATCAATATTGTCACTCATCCAATTTAGAGCTTTTCGCAAGGGTTCGGGTAGGCAGGCATAACAAGCTAGTAATTTATTCGGAGCGCCTTGAGGATTTTCACGTTGCGTCGAATCACTCGGGCTCTCTAGATCAGAATCCTGAGGCTGAGACTGAGAGTCCTGTGACCTGAACAACACATAAATACGTAGTTCAAAACAATTCAAACGTTTCGGCCGCAAACAAGCACTTAATGCTGTAAAATTAAACTAGAAAATTTTCGAAGACAATATAAAGATTACACTCAACCATCACTTACATGATGAACAACGCAAAGTCTTTGGATTTCGATTTGCGAAATTGTTCTTCAAATACTGGATCCTTCAGTAAGTATATAAAGCCTAGAGGGGACCACAAATTAGTTGCTTTATTAAGTATATAAAGCCTAGAGAGGACCACAAATTAGTTGCTTTATTAAGTATATAAAGCCTAGAGGGGACCACAAATTAGTTGCTTTATTTGTTGTTTGAGCTAGAAGTAACGGAAATTTTAGGAAGAAGTATAGTATAAAAGAAAATTAAAGAAATGTTGTATGTTTAGCCCAAGTCACTGAATAATAAAGGGTACAACTGAGCATATGACAACTTCATTAATTTTGGTAAACTAACGCTTTTTGTAGGTCCTCTTTAGCACTTTGTTGGAATTTATTGTTTATTGCATGAATGGGGCAAAAGGAATAACCAAACTGTTTATTTNCTGAGAACACGTTTATACTATTAAAGCTCAGAAGAGAATCTCTGGTCTGGACCCAAGCTTCCAAGCGGTTCGTCTAGCTTGGTTGACAATTGCTTAACTGGGTTATGTAATAAGCACTCTGATGATGCTTGCTTCCGAATCAGTCACAGATTGAAGAAGAAAATGACCTGAGAAATAAAAACAAAAAGTCACGGACGTCATTTGTTAATTGCCTTACACAAACAAATGGATTGCCAAAGTTACAAGGAGTGACTTCAATCTGTAAGGTGGTCAAGTCAAAACAATATAACTCGTTGGTTTACACACAGGAAAAAGAAGCATCTTTAGTCATCACCTTGTTTCTTTCTAGCTTCAGCACAAAGACTTCTATGCCAGAGAGAAAATTATAATTGGAATATATATATATCGGCAATAAAATTAGTTTACAAGATTACGAATTGTATCGACTAATGTATAATACAAATACTAATTTATCAATCAAATGCCCATTTCTCCAGCTTGGTTGACAATCAGTGTGCTTGACTGCAGGATTGCTCATGGCATGTTTTTTACTTGTGAATTTGAAATAGATTCAGTTCTTTTTTGGTTCTTGATCAGTTCAATTAGTATTCTCCTATCATAAAAACCAGCAAAAAAGGAACAATGAAAACCTTGAAATGGGAAATTTTCACAAAATTGACAAACTAAAATTTCATTGGGGCATAAGTGATTTCACTTGATATAACTTACAAGCTTAATGAGCAAAGGAAGTCTAATGGTTCAAATGCTACTGAGAAGTAAAAAGAACCTTGTTATACTGGAAAGCTCACAAATCTATATATATGTCTCCTATATTACATTGCTTCTATTATCTTGGACCTGATAGTCGAACAGCTGACATAAGTATGCCACTACTGTCACCAAGTATTCCAGATGAACTACCATCATCGTTCCACTTGAAGCAACCTGAGTATGCCCGAGAATTCAACTGAGAAGGGGTAGGTGGCTGAGGTACAACACAGAGCCCTTCAAGCATTTGCACGACTTTAGTCATTGGCGGTCTCAGATGCATCTCATCTTGTATGCACCACAATGCAACTTTGATTGCAGTGAAAGCTTGCTCATCGTTTACATTGACGTCTAGTCTTGGATCAAGGATTTCGCTTACTTTTCCTTCTTCCAGCATCTTGAAGGCATATGAAGGAAAATGGGCTTTCTCGGTATCATTCTCTAGCTCAAAGCACTTCCTGCCGCCAATGATCTCAAGCAAGACCATGCCATAGCTGTATACATCACTCTTCTCAGAAATAGGATTGTTTGTTATCCATTCTGGTGCAAGGTACCCCCTTGTACCCCTCAGTGTTGTATATACAAGGCTTTCTTCACGGTTCATCAGCTTCGCCAGACCAAAATCTGAAACTTTGGCAGTGAAATGATCATCAAGAAGAACATTTTCAGGTTTTATGTCACAGTGGACAATCTTCACTTCACATTCCTCATGGAGATAAGCTAATCCCTTTGCAGTACCCACTGCAATATTGAATCTAGTATCCCAACTCAAAAATTGACTTTCATTGTCAGTCTTGAAGATCCATTTATCCAAAGACCTGTTTGCCATGTACTCATAAACAAGAAGCCTGTGAGCCCCCTCAGAACAGAAGCCTTTGAGCCTGACCAGATGGACATGATGTATATTCCCAATTATACTTACTTCAGCTCTAAACTCCTTCTTCCCCTGGCCAATACCCTCCAACTTTTTAACAGCCAACTGGGTTCCATCGGGTAGCACACCTAGATAAACAGAGCCAAACCCTCCTTGACCAACCTTTGTAGAGAAGCTTCTAGTTGCTTTACTGAGATCATCATAACCGAAGCGAATAGGCATTCCAGAAAAACTGTCCAAGAAAGTGTCCTCTTCCAAGTTTTCTTGAGAAAAATTCATTGAATTCTTCTTTCTGCGGTACCATAGTCCCAGATAAAGTAGAACAGCAATCACAATTATGCTTGCAATAACCATGAACACAATTAATAGAGTCTTCTTTCCCTTGTTTCCACTTCCATCACTGGTTCCACTCACAATCTTCACATATGAAATATAACCAGCCGAACCCTGCTGAGAGCGTTGAAAAGTACCTATTTGATCAAATAGATAGCAATTTTGAGTACTATTTTGAAAGAACAGTGCAGAGCAGGAGCAGTTATGAAGGCAAGCTTCTTTGCAATCCTCAACATTGAATTTTGAAAGGGGTTTAACAAAGACAAGTGCAAAATAATAAAGATTCTCGCCAACAAATAAAAGCTCTGCTGAATCATTGGAGCCATCACAGGTTGAAGAAATTGGAGGTTTGCAATTGAAAGATTGAAGAGACGAAGGGCACTGGCACCAATTCTCGAAATAGCACACATAATACAGGCCACAATGCTCAGGATTGCCACAAGAATTCTGTGGTATCTTGATAGCCTCAGAAACAACTTGATTTCCCTTGTGAAGATCAGAAAACGTAATCGCCCCATCTGAGCCTAAAATGGCAGCCCAGGTAGCATTCGGATTATTATTTTCGGTGAAGACGAACTGCCAAAGCAATTTCTTATTCTGATCATAGAAATTCCATGCATAGGACTCCAGATATGCAGAATGGACCTTGCCACCAACACTACTATTCGTTTTTCGGCTATCATTTGCCAAGGACCAATAGGTTTGTGGAGTCTGATAGCCTGCATACAACACCAAATCACCAGACTTTATTTCAAGAAAAACACTCATGTTGTTGCTGTTGGGAAAACTTTTAAGTCTCATTCCTTCCGAAAACTCCTGGCCGGGTAAAAGAGTATCAGTGGGATGGCTATAACTCTGCCAAACAACAGTTCCATCCTCTCCAAGCAACACCAAATTGCCCGAGTCCTGCAATTCCATGGATGAAACTTTCTGACCAGTGGTATTTGAGGACCAAGCTACACCATCTCCCAGTTGCAAATAAACATTCCCATTCTTCCCAAACACAAACTTCTCAGATCCTTTAACCAATTTGGCTCTATTAGCAGTCCAAACTACTTTGGCACTACTAATGTGAATGACAACAAGCAAAAACAGTTGAGCATCCAAGCCAGTGTAAAATCCACAAGCGAAAACTGAGCTGTTAGACCGCAGGAATAGGCCATTCTTATCAACCCAGTCACTGTGGGATGCCTCAAACCCAGGATATATCTTGCCAATATGTTGAGAGTCAGCAATACAAGTTTTGAACAAAAGAAGAAGACAAAAACACAAGACTCCACTATACTGGAACAAACCCATAATTTCTATAACTGAAAAAGAAGCACTGAGCTTTCCCAGATAATCAAAAGAAAATCAGTCTGAATATTAACTACAAGCACAATTTTGTTCAAAACAAGTGAAAATTAAAAAAAAAAAAAATGATGAGCAAGAAAGTAGTAAAAGAAAGTGACTGACCTCAACCAGTGATGGAATCAGAGAGACAAATGGATTGGCAGAGTCAGGATTTTTTGGGATTTGTGTTGATTTAAGAAAAATGAAAGCTTTAAGATGTGAAGCGTGATTCTGAAACTGGTTTTATAGGAGGAGAAAGAGACAGAAGAAACAGGGTTGGGAGGGCAGGTAGTGAAAATTTTATGATCTACTTTAATTTAAACTTAAATAAATCCAGCTACCAATGTTTTGTCCGTTTTTTATTTCTTCTACATTTGAATGATCTCTTCTTTTACGTTAGTTCATTTCATATGTTGTCTGGTTCTGAACATAGATCATGATCAAACGATATGTTTTCACTTGTTTTTTGACCAGTTTTCAAAGGGTCCTTGTTTTCTTGGTATTTTCCTTTTCATAATAATTATTGGCATGAAGAAGTCGATAGATTTCTGAGATGTGAATAACCAGTGGCCATTTTTTTAATTAAAAAATAAAATATGAATAATCAACGAGAAACTTGAAGAAGATGCCAAGAAATTTTAAGAACAGAAGCAAGGAAATAATATTATAGTGGTTTTTCTAAGAATTATAATTTATGTTAATTAATTTTTTATTAGTCTTAAATCTTAATATAAATACAATTACAACCTTAAGAGATTCGAATAATAATTTTATTAAATCCGAGAAAGAACACCCTGGTCCTATGAAGTAATTAACTCTATGGATTCCTTTCATATATTCTCCCATAAATTCAAAACTATAATCCACTTGTATTAGATTTCATTATCTTCAAAATATTTTTATTATGTAACTTATATTATTGAATATAAAACTTATAATATAACATATAGTATCAAACATTAAGGAAAGCACTAACGCTTGTGGGTGTTGGTGTATCAAAATTTCGGTATATTAAACCACTACTAGGTGGCCTGATAGTAAAAGAGAAATAGTAATACTACACTCACAAACCCCTCTCACTAACACGTGTCAACTCATAACTGATCAGCTCGTAATGGGTCTTGCCTACCCAATAATGGGTCTCACCTAACCAATTACGAGCTATCATGTCAACGTTTGTGAGAGAAAATAAGGATCTAACATGATTTTTCAAGTTCGAGTTCTCTTGATAGAAAAAGAGCAAGAGGAGAATCTAACATGATCTCCCAAGTTTGAGTCCCCTTGAGGGTAAAAGAGTAAAATGAGGATCTAACATAGTCTCTCGAGTTTGAGTCCTCACGGTTGCTAATAGGGGTGACCATTAAAGCTTTTACCTGACCGGTAGTTCCAGAGTCCCGATGGATTAGTTGAGGTGTCCGAAAGTTGACCCAGACACACCCCGATCACCAAAAAAAGAAAATCTAATATAGTTTCCTGAGTTCAAGTCCTCACGATTACTAATAGGGGTGATCACTAAAGCTCTTACTCGACCGATAGTTTCAGGGTCTCGAGAATTACTTGAGATGCATGCAAGCTGACTCGGATACCCCATTCATTAAAACAACAAAAAATCATTATATTAGAAAAGCTTTGTGGAATTAATCTTGGGTACCAAGTAATACATTGATTAGGGTTGTAATACTTAATTAATTGTAATTAAAAATCAAATCAGACAACCACTAACACAAACTACCTCCACTTTGTGTATTATACTATGGATTTAGATAAAAAGTTGTGGGAATATAATCTTTATTTTCCGGCACGCCTGAATCATTATTTTACTGTCCGGTATCGTTTCATTTTCACATATATACTAATTGGTTGGCTGTCCCTCTCCATAAGTTGGAATTATATAATATTAAATGGATGATTGATGTTAGCTTAGTAAAAACAATAATATTAAATGGATGATTGATGTTAGCTTAGTAAAAACAATGTGAAAGCGTGTTGAAAAGAGTGACTTTTCACAGAAGACTAAAAGTTGAACTATAATTTTAACTAATCTTTAAACATAAACGACAAGAGGTATTTATTTATGTAACGCTTGTGCCTAACTTTGGACCCATTTCGAAGAAGATGTCTTCCTCTCACTGTGACGTAATTTATACATCATTAATGACAAAATTTATACATCATAAGTAATACATTAGTCATTAGTGAGATAATTTATTAATATTAATGTGTTTTTTTTTTTTAAATTTCCCATATAGTGTTTTAATAACTGACCCGAGGTGAAACCAGACAAAGTAATTGGGTCCCAGGTTGACCAGTTAAACCGATTTTGACCAGTGACGTCAACATGTCCAGATGTTTGAAATCCATTAAACACACCCCTAAAAATTACGTATCAGTCCCTATAGGTTTGAAATCCAATAAAAACACCCCAAATACAAATCGGTAGTCGACTAGTTGACAATGGCAACACACCAAAATGCAAATCACACTCATCCTTTGAGTCATTTCCTAGAAAATATGTCCACAATCTGGCCGAAATCAAACCATTTTGCGGCAAAACAACCACCGCAACCACCGCCGACATTGACAACCCAAGCCAAATAGGGCTTGTTTTTTACGTGGACAACATGAAACCACTCCCTTTAGTCTGCCGACCAAAACCCATCTCACCTCCTATTCGCCCTGCCAATCGCCGGTAACAACCCACTGTTGTGGCCGTGTGACTTTTGCCTTTTCCAGTTGTTTCACTCAGCGGAAATCACCTCTATCACTACCTTTCAACTCGTCGACACTTTCTCTCCAAAACTCCTACTAGCCTGTCTACTCGACGATCACCGCCCTCCTCTTTAGGTTTTGCTTATTCGGATTGTGAATAGTTGAAATTGGTGACCTAGCCCTACGAAGGCCTCGGGTCTCTGTTAGACCAGTTAAACCAGTCGAACCGGGCCATGTTTTAAAACAAATTTCCCATATAATTAAAAACTTAATATAATTTGTATATATGAAATGGGGTTAGTTGAATAAAAGGAAGTCTATATTGACTGTATGGATTAGTAAGTCAAAAGTGTGGAATTTGAGATGTCAAACAAACATTAAGTTGCCTCGCACTTCCATTGCCATGTAAATGTCTTTTTGTTGGAATTTGCTTCCTCCTATATTTGTTTATGGAAATTAATTAATTCAATAATTTTTTTTTTTTTTTGTGGGAGTAGGTTAAAGATCACAAAGACTTTATTTATAAATCATCCACTTTAATTAAATAACGGAAGGGTTTATCTAATAAAGGCTCTAGTGAGATAGTGTCTTGGATTAGCTTACGCACATCTCGACTATTCCTTAGAGAGAGCTATCCCACAGCAACCCACCGTTCATCATGAACAAAAGTACTAACTTTGCACCAAACGAGGAATCGAACTTGGGACTGTGAGTTGAAGTCATGCACAACCCCTTTGATTCGCCTTTACTGTTGGGCTACCCATGGATGGGTAGATAGTTGCTTTCTTTAAAAAGTATTAAGGACACCCCTATTACTAATAATATGTTAAATTTGATCAAATTCATATAACAATATGGGTGTTTTTAATACTTTTTTTAACAAAGCGGATGAGTGAATACTAAGCGATCTCACAAGAGTGTAAATCCCTATAATGGAAATGTCAAATTTTGAAAAATAAAATAAAAAATCAACTGTTATAAAGATAACAAAAATAAAATAATATAAGAGCTTTTTATAGTATTTCTATCTTGACTATAAACACACCTGATTATAATGCTCCACACACCCATAATATTTTTCATTATCATAATCGTCTCCTTTTTTGTTAGACCTAATTCAATCTGATGTCTAATAAATGTCTTCTCTCAATAATAAAACAAACACACCCTAATAAATGTCTTCTCTCTGTTTGACCTATTTATCTAGTAAAACCATCCAATCTAATATAATATTTATATAAATCAATTCATATGTGGAACCTTAAGACTTTGAGATAAAGTTATTTACCCAGTTTATTTTTGTGATTAATTATCTAACCAATTAGCCCAATAATTTGACTTTGGCCATCTAATATTTACAAGTTTTAAATTAGGTTAAAGTTTTACTTAAAGTATATTTAGTCTAAATCTTATGTAAATTTCAACTTTGTTTTGAATATTGGAGATTAATATCATAATGTTATGATTAGAAATCGGGGGATGTATGGCATTAAACTTTTTTTTTTATTTATTTTTTATTTTTTATGATCAGAGTGTCCGCGTTAGCTTGCACACACCTTAACTAATTCCCGAGACTCATTGAATACTCTACAAACTCAATGTTCTAAGGTAAGCGACAAATGTGATAAGTGACCCCAAGATGGTTGTTGATACAGAAATCTGCACCAATCAGCGAGATCCGATCGACATTGCCGGGATCGGAACTGATGTGTGTGTGATTAAGAATAATTAGCAATGTATGAAAAAAATGCAATAAAGTAAAGACAATGAGAATTTTAAAGTGGTTCGGAGAGGTTAACTCTAAAGCCTACGTCTAGTGTTTTTGTATTTGCTATGAAGCTTATAATATAGTTCCTATGTGAAATTCGTAACACCTTCCTCCTCGTTTGAGGGGTTTTATATATAAGATTTGTACAAAGAAAAGAGCGAAATTAAGGGGATTACAATTTATCTGAATCGCAATTTCGATATTCTCGCGATTGGGGGTTGTGATTGCATAGTAACCACAATTGATCTAATCATTCCTGTAATATTTGGGATCTAAAATAATCTGGAGATTGATTGAATGATTCATTGAATTGTCTGCGACTAATTTATATTGGGTCGAGCTTCGGCTTGACGAGCTTATGTTGGGTCGATCAATCATTGTTGCCGAACTCATTCTGAGTCGAGCTATATCATCGCATTGGCCCGGGCTCAACGAAAAAGCCACACACAACAATGGTTTAAACTCAAAAAGCTAATAAATAGAGCAAACTTTCTTGAAGGTCATCAAGCTAACCTCTTAGGGTTATATTAAACTATTTTTAATTAATTATTATAGCTAATCCCTCTAATCTTTATCTACTCACGTGTCCCATACCTTTTAATGAACTGATAATATTTGTTATAAAACATAGGATACGCGATCTCTATTATGATACTAAATTAACATAAAAGTTAGTATTAATTAAAATTTCATAACCTTAATTTATTTGTTAAAAATCTTTTATGTACGAGAAAAATAATAACATAATTTAGCATGAAATGATCAGATGTTCATGTGAATGACACATCAAAGAAAAAATTATTATCATAAATCATACTTTAATTATTTAAATAAAAAGGCCGAAATGATGACAAAGCATCACAGGCTATCACATGATCATTCTCACGATTCTATTTAATGTAACCGGTTGCCGTTTGGGAAC